GAGAAATTTAATTTTCACTACCACCTCGAGCGTTGGGCTGATATAAAACAATAGTGTGCTCAAGGGACAACGAAGGAAGTTGATCTTCTTCAAGCTTCTCAGTAACCACCGCTACCTCCGTGTCTTGGCTGATTGTGGTGTTATTACTAACTTTATTTCTCCATACGGGGTATGCAAAATGGGTATGGGAATGAAGCAAGTGGGATTGCAAATCCCTTGTTGAACCCAAAAAGACAACAAAAAAATTGTCACCTCCACGCATGCGGTCAAAGGTTTGTGTGTTACCTTTGACAAGGACAAAACTGTCACACACACACTAAACTTCTACGTCCTTGACAAGTGTCTCTCCGATGCGGTTCTTGGCTTAGGATGGTTAAAGTCCCTGTGAAAGCACCAAGTAGAAAAACTCACTGTTTGTGGTCCGAGATGCTAAGGGAACGAATATCCTAGATTTTTGGATGACAAACACAAACCCAAGTGACTTTTCTCAATGCCATGCGATTCTGTAAGAAGTGGAGCAAGCATAAGGAGGATGAGCAATTGTATGTTGTCGTTGTTCATCTTACTCATGTGTCTTTTACTTTTGTGTTTAGTACTAGTTCTATTTTGCATGATGTGCCTACGTCTAGTACTTACTTCTTCTCCTTTGTCCACTTCTGGTCCAAACTCCGAATGATTCTACTTCAAAATTTGTGGCATTGGTTGTTTATTTGTAGTCTGATTTATGTGACCCTTATTCTGATCCTCCAACCCCGGAGATCCTAGATTTATCCAAAACTTTCTCAATCAATTTTCGGAAGTTATGGATGAACCACGCGGAGTCCCCATGTGATCGGTCAAGCATACGATTGAGTTGATTGAACGCGTTGTTCCCCCAAAGAGCTGTATGTACCGTATGGGACCCGACGAGTTTGACGAATTCCACAGGCAAATCAACGAGATAATTGACAAAGGGTGGATTAAGCCAAGTGAATCTGAATTTGGTGCACCTGTTTTGTTTGTCCCAAAGACAGGAGGCAAGCTCCAAATATGTATTGATTACCTCGGTCTAAACCGCATCACAAGAAATAATGTGTATCCATTGCCATGCATCAATGACTTCCTTGATGTTGCAGGTGAGTAAAAAGTTTTTTCCAAGATCGATCTCAAGTCCGGTTACTACCAGATTGGGGTCAATCCTATGGACCAGCACAAGACTGGATTATATGAATTCACCATTATGCTCTTCGGTCTCATGAATGCACTTACCACCTTTCAAAGTCTCATGGACAAAGTACTCTGGGAACATATTGGTTGGTTTGTTGTTATCTACCTTGATGACATTCTGATCTTCAACAAATCAATGGAGTAACACTTAAGACATCTTGAGGAAGTGCTTAACATTCTCAAGAAACGCAACTCCATCTTAACTTAGAAAAATTTGAGCTTGGGAGGGATAACGTCATTTATCTTCGACATAGGTTTTTTGTTGCAGGCGTTGAGCCTGAAGCAACCAAGGTTTAGGTCATATGCAACTGGCCTCAACCAAGGAATATACATGAATTGCATTCTTTTTTTGGCCTTGCATCATACTATTGGAAATTTGTGTCCATATTTTCTATTATCGTTGTCTCATTGTCAAAACTAATAAGCAAAAAAGTATCTTACGCATGGGATGAAGTGTGTGAGACTGCCTTTCAAGCCTTGAAAGACGCCTTGGCGAGTAATCCTCTACTCCACATTGCAGATCCCAGACTCACATTCATAGTTACTACGGATGCGAGCCTATACGGGATTGGCGCAGTGTTGCAACAAGATGCTGGTGGTCATTTGCGTCCGCACGAATACTACATGAAACGCATGCCTAGCGAAAAGGAAGCTACTTCCACGTACATGCGCGAGCTTTATGCTTTGTGTATAACATTCGACCACGCCACTTTGAAGTCTTCTCATATCATGCGACTTTGAAGTGGATCAAGGGGCAAGCTACCTTATCCACTACATAAACCCGCTGGTTGCATGAGATTAATATTTTTAATTTTGAATTAAAGCACAAGAGGGGTTGTTACAATCGAGTTGTTGACGCATTGTCTCGCCACCATGAGTATATGACTTACCTTATAGGCTCCTACGACCTCCGAAATAAATTGAAGGAGGAACTAGCAGAACAAACTACCAAGGATTCAAATATTGATCTAATCCTTGAGAAGCTTAAGGCTGACCCCAACAGTCAACTTGATTTCCACGAATGTGAAGGTCTGGTTTTCCAACACTACGGATAAAATGACCGTTTGTGTGTACCCAATCATGAGCCTCTCCTCACACACTTCTTGGATTTGGCTCGTGGTCGGAGTGAACACTTCGACATTGCAAAAACCTGCGGAAATTTGTTGCAACAGTTTTACTGGCCGAGTGTAAAAGGATCTGCTGAGAAGTTTGCGGTTGAGTATCAAGTCAGTCAACGAATCAAAACATCAAAGCAAAAACCCATGGGGATGCTCAAACCTTTGATTGTACCATACTTATGACTGTGTTTCAAGAGTATGCAACACAATTGACATGAAAGCAAAACCCCATGATGATTCGACATGAATATGCGCCATACTTATGACTGTGTTTCAGGAGTATGCAACAATTTGGTATCGGAGCAGACCAGCATTGGATGACTCACGTTTGATTGATTGATTGATTGATTGATTATTTGATTGATATCTAAACCTGTACTCTGTTATCATTAAATCGCAAGTTGCAAATTTTTTTTTTTCTCTTCTACTTACATAGCGAATTAGGTCGTTTGAATTCTAATTTCAAGTTTTGCGGTTTTCTCCATACTGCGCGCAATTAGGAAATCGCTAATCACGATTAACCTAAGTAAGCGCTAATTAGGTTTAGCCCTAACCTAATCTAACGACCTATCAAGCCTATGGGAAGTAAGTGCCAGCCAGACATCGCGCCAATTAAGGCAGATCATGCCATGCACGGCCACATTCGAACTGCAACTTCACAGAACTTTCACTTTTTTCAAATTGCATCTTTCAGGCGACTAAAGGTTGAATCTTTACAGCAAATTGTGTCTCTTCCTATTACCATTGATCTTCTACTTACTTCATGACCTCGTAATGATGCTAAATTCTCCCGATTAAATTTCATGAAATTATTTAATTAAAATTCTGTTTAAATGTTTAATCTTGTTTAAACCTAGGTTGTTTTACCGGACGTCCGGGATCCCTGGGTTGTCCGACCGGACGTCTGGTCTGACGTCGGACGGTCTCGGACCGGACAAGGGTTATCCGACCTAGCGCAAAAAAAAATAATAAAAAATAATAAAAAAATAAAAAAATCATGTGGCTTCTACCTTGCATAAGGTGCATGCCACCAAAATTTTGGCTCATTTGAACTAGTAGAAAAAAAGATAAAAATCTTCAAAGTTTCTAATCCCCACCTATACCCCTCCTATCCCCACCAAAACCCCTCGTACCCC